ATTACAATGTACAACTGAAAGCTATATAATGTTAAAATCCAATGTTATTGCAATTTAAAAAAAGAAAGTATGATGATAATGACAAGAAATAGAGAGCCTCAATGAATAGAAGTAATTGAACTGGGAAGATGTCAACATCATGGCAGCATAACAGAAACCCCTTGTCTCTCCCCTTTAGTCTACAGAATAAAACATCCATAACCCAACAAAGGCTACATTGCCCAACATACCAGGATGCCAGAGAGATCCACATATTGGTACATACAAATGTGGGTGGACTGGAGCACACAGAGGAGACTAAACAGGGGAACAGCAGAGGTGGTGTCCAGGACCCTGGACCTCCAGCTACAGCTATTGAGTCAGTGGCCTCCAACCCCAGAGAACCTGGTGGGCAGCAATGGAGGCATGTGTGAAACTCTGGCTAGCCAGCTGTGGTGGCACCAGCAGCCTACTGATGGAGGAAGCAAAGCAGCAGCAAAATGGAAGCCCTGTGATCCTGGACCCCAGCCATGGCTCAGAACCTGGTAGCAGCAGCAGAGGCATGCATAGAATGCTGACATCTCAAGCACAGTGGAACTTGCAACCAACCGCAAGGTAATGGGTAACAGCAGAGGTGGTACCCCATGAACCCAGCTCCATCCCCCCTCCCCCTCCCCCTGCCACAGCAGTGGAACTTCCAATCCAGGTGATCCAAGATGTGGTGGAGGCATCAGCAATCCCTGTACCCCTAGCAGTGAAGTCAGTGACAGCAGTGACAGTGAAAAAAGTAAGACATCAGTAACCCCCAGAAGTACAGTCAGCAATAACAAGAATACTGGTGGCACCCTGAATAGAGGCAGTGAAGGCTGGAAGGTATAGATTCTCAAATATAGCTAGAGGCAGCTCAGGTAAAAGAAACCAGAAACTAGCAGTATATCACCACTTACTGAAAAACAAAAGAAAGGCCTCTAATCTCCAATTAGTTGAAAAGTTTCATTCAAAACAAACAAAGCTATACCTAAATAAGAAAAACATTTGCTATGACAAATGCACCATCAAAGAAACAACTCAGCAAGCACCACAAAAAGCCATGGTAACACAGTATCACAAAAAGAAAACAACAATTCTCCAGAACCCAAACATACAGTCATGGAAGATTGTGATCTAATCGATAAATATTTCAAAATAGCTGTCATGAAGAAATTTAACGAGCTACAAGAAAACTCAGAAAGGCAGTTCAATGAGCTCAGGAATAAAATCAATCAACAGAAGGAATATTTTACCAGAGATTGAAACTCTAAAAAAGAACTAAACAGAAATTCTGGAGCTGAAGAACCCAATAAATGAGATGAAGAATGCATTAAAAAGCACTGGAAATAGAGCAGACCATATGAAAGAGAGAATTAGTGAGCTCAAAGATAGAAACCTAGAAACGATGCAGGTAGAAGAGGAGAGAGAACTAACATCTTTTCTCTAATATAGAAATTCTATGAGAACTATCTGACTCCATTAGAAAGGGCAACATAAAGATAATGGGTATCCCAGAAAGAGAAAAGAGGGAGAAGGGAGCAGAGAGTTTACTTAAAGAAATAATAGCTGAGAACTTCCCAAAGCTGGGGAAGGAACTAGATATACAAATCCATGAAGCTAATAGAACACCCAATTATCTCAGTATAAAAAGACAATCCATTTACATTTAGGGTTGAACCCCTGCTAGGCTATCAGCAGATTTCTCAGCAGAAATTCTACAGGCCAAGGGAGAGTGACGTGATATATTCAAAATATTGAAAGATAAAAACTCTCAGCCAAGAATACTCTGAATATCTGAGTTCCAGATTTGATTAACATTACTTTACAGATCCAAGGAACTCAACAAATCTCAAGTAGGATAATCACAAAGTGATTCATATTTAGATACATTGTATAAAACTGGTGGCAGACATAGATCAAAAGAAAATCTTAAAAGCAACAAAAGAAAAATGATTCATTACTTACAAGGATTCTACAGTAAGATGAACAAATTGACTTAGAGAGCGAAGGAAAGAAGGCAACAGGATAGCATGTTCAAAGTGATAAATGAAAAAACTTTTCAACCAAGAGTGCAGTAAAACTACTCTTCAGAGATAAAGGCAAAATAAAGCCATTGCAGATAAACAAAGGCAGATTTTGTTGTTAGCAGAACTGTCTTATAAGAAATACTAAAGGAAGTCCTTCAGGCTGAAAGGAAATGGTGCTAGAGGGTAATTCAAATTCTTAAGAAGAAATAAGAAGCACCAGAACTGGTAAATACATGGGTAAATAAAAAATATATAAATATACATTTCCATCTGTTCTCTTAACTTCTTTTAAAAGCATATGACTGTAGAAAACAATAATTATAACACTGTATTATTACATTTAAATATGGATGTAATACATGTGACAATATTACAAAGAACAGGAAAATAAAAAAGATATATTGGAGCAATCTTTCTATATTTCTTGGAATAATGTTAGTATTACATTGAAGTAGGTTGTGATTAGTTAAGATACATATTATAGCCCTATGATATAATAAGATCTACATATTTGGTCTTTGCTCCCATGTCCAGCCACACAGCTCCAAAACCCTTGAACTCTCTCAAGTGATACATCTTTTTGTACGCTAATGAGATGACTGGTGGCTGATCTCCAGGGGAGGCTGGAGGTTGAATTAATCACCCATGGCTGATGACTTAATCATGCCTACATAATGAAGCCTCCAAAAAAATCCCTAAAAGTGGGGTTCAGAGAGCTTCCAGGTTGGTGAACGGGTGGAGATGCTGGGAGGGCAGCATGCCTGGATAGAGCAGGGAAGCTCTGCACTCCTTCCCCCAAACCTTGCCCTATGCTTCTCTTCCATCTGGCTATTCCCGAGTTGTATGTATCCTTGTATAATAAACTGGTAATCCAGTAAGTAAACTGTTTTCCTGAGTTCTGTGAGCCGTTCTAACAAATTATTAAACCCAAGGGTCATGGGAATCTCCAATTTAAAGCCAGTCAGTCAGAAGCACAAGTGACAACTTAGATTTGTCATTCGTATCTGAAGCGGAGGGGGCTAGGTGCAGTCTTGTGGGACTGAACGCTTAACCTGTGGAGTCTGCACTAACTGCAAGTAGATAGTATCAGAACTGATTTGAATTGTAGGACACCCAGTTGGTGTCCACAGAGAATTGGAGAATGGCCTGGTGTGGGAAAAACTTCCACATGTCTGCTGTCAGAACTATTGAGAGTAGAGCATTGAGAGGAGAAGCAGAGTTCTTTTTCCTTTTCAAGTCCCTAAAACAGCCACTAGGAAAATAACTATATATAGTAAAAAACAAACAAACAAAAAATCTACAAAGGAATAAAAAAGGTACATTAAAACATAAAAATAACCTATGCTTCTACCTTAAGAAATGAGGAGAAGGGCAAAATAAAATCAAAGGAAGCAGAAGAAAGGATATAAACATTAGAGCAAAAGTCAATGAAATAGCAAACAGAAAAATGACAGATAAAATCAATGAAGCTAAAAGCTAGCTCTTTGAAGACACAAATTACCAAAATCAGAAAGAAAGAGCAGACATCATTATTGACCCTACAGAAGTTAAAAGGATTATAAGGGAATGTCATGAACAACTTTATCCCAACAAATTAGACAACTTACGTGAAATGGGAAAAGTTTTAGAAAGATGCAAATTCTTAGAATGATACAGATTCTGAAAAACAAAGTTAATTCCTAGAAAGACACATAATTGACTGAAGAAAAAGTAGAAAATCGAATAGGCCTATCACAAGTGAAGGAATTGATTTAATAGTTAAAATTTTTGACATAAAGAGAAGCCTAGGTCCATATGACTTTGCTGGTAAACCTGACTGAATATTTAAAGAAGAAATAATACCAATATTTTGCATACATTTTCAGGAAATACTTCCTAACTCATCCTTTGAGATCAGTATTACCCTGACACAAAAGGCAGTCAAAGACAACACATGAAAAGAAGACTACAAATATCCTTTATGGACATAAGTACAAAACTCTTTAGCAAAATATTAGCAAACCAAGTTCAACAACATAGAAAAAGGATTATATACTATATATATATATATATATATATATATACACACACACACATACTAAAGAGTATTTTTTAATATCTAAAAATATATATACTATATACATACTAAAGGTATTTATTTAATATTTGAAATATCAACTAATGCAATATACCATATTAATAGAATAAAAGACAAAACCACACGATCACCACAGTAGTCATAGAAAAGCATTTGAAAAAATCCAACACCCATTCTTCATAAAAACTCTCAACAAACTAGGTGTAGAAGGGAAATTTCTCAACCTGATAAAGGGCATCTACAAAAATCCTAAAGAAAACATCATACTTTATGATAAAAGATTAAATAGTTTTTCTCTTAAAATTAGAAACAAAACAAGGATGTCCACTCTCACAACTTCTCTTCAACATTGTATTGGAGATTCTAGCCAATGAAATAAAAAAAAAAATTTCAAGGTATCCAAAAAAGAAATTCCAAAAGGAATAAGTAAACCCGTTTTTGTTTGCAGATGACATGATATCATATGTAGAAATTTTTAAGGAATTCACAACCCCCAAAAAACTCTAATGGAACTTATAAATGATTTAGCAAAGTTGCAGGACACAAGATGAATATAAAATAGTAGCACAAATTCTGCTTCATTTCTATGTGCTTTTCCTATTCTTGATTTAGGAGACAACTTTTCAGAGCTCCAATGAATGGTTCTATAATCCAGGAATAATATGGATTTTAGAAATTCAATTTTACATAATCACCACCTGAAAAATAAACATTCCCCATTCTTATGTTTGCAGAGACTCTGCAGAGTTAAGAACAATTGTCAAAATTATCATTGCTAACAGCTGGTCTATGGCATGATTAGAGGCCAGTGGTGACATTAAACATTTTTCTCCCCATCCCCAAACACAGGCTTCTGAAGAATTCCAAGACCTCTTTGTGAGTCTTACCACTCTGTATTTAGGTTCCAGGGGCTGCAGGACATCCCCAAAAGTTTTCCCTGTTGGTGCTCTATCCACAATATTAGCAATTAAATTGGTTATCAGTTGTTTGAAAAATGGAGGCTCTGGACCACTGCTCAGGTTGGCTACTGAGTCCTAGAACAGAGAACATTTGTTTAAGGAGCGCACAATGTAGAGTCAAAGACCCTTTCCCCAGGTCCCCACCCCCAGAAATGCCTTCATTAAAGGAAACACACACACACACATTCTCCAAGAGCTAACAACTTTAACAAAATGTGGAATCTTGCTAAAATGTGAGCCTAGAAGTCCATAATTTAGACTTTTGTCACTAGAAGAAAGTTTTGGTCATAGGCAACACTTTCACTCCCCTAAACAGCATTGTCCAATGATTAGAGTATAAACCTGGAAGCATGCTATACAGGTTTAGATTCTAGGACAGCCATTTTTTAATTGTATGACTTCGGACAGGGACCTAACACATGATAAGCCTTCGTAACACGACACCGTAATTATTCTTTTAATTTTAAAAAAGTGTTGAGCCTCTTTTATCCAGCGTCAGCACCAAGCTTTTTACCTAAATCCTTCTCTGTGCATATTAGAGAATATAGTAAATATATTTTTAATTTAAAAGTTAGGATCAGCCTATATCCTCACTGGTTTAATCTATGTTTCCCGCAGAATTGGCCACCTTGAATAGTGTCATCAGTGTGCTGATCTCAAATTTTAAACAGCCCTTCATAGGCATTTAATGTACTTTAATGCTCACTTTATGTATTTAACCTTTACAAGAGGCTTATAATCTATTTGTTATCATTCCCATTGTACAAGTGATAAAATAGGCTTGGAGAGATGGTGGGGTTTTTTTCAAGATCACATAACCAGTCTTAGACACACAACCATAAACTTGACCGTGAAACAAATTTCCACAAAATGAATCACACTCTTCTTCCTAAATATCATGATAACATTTGAAAAATCTATTCCCATGGGAAGAGCTATGGACCTCTGATTGTAATGAAAGAGAAACAGCAGATATCTCTAGGGGTGTTATAGGCCTATACTTTTCTGTATAATCTGAATATTCTCCAAATAGTTACAGCTTTTATGATGAAAAATAAAAACTGTTCTACTTTGAAGAAAAATGTATCAGATCTAAAATTGAGAGGAATGTTATGATAAAATAATAATCAGGCAAATAAAATATATCCTAAATATATAACTTGAACTGAAACCTTAAAGACACAATCAGCAACTAATTAGGTGGAATATATGAAATTGCCAATATTCAACTGTTTTGACCTACAGAAACAGCAATTTCATTTGTTTCAATTTAATATATTCAAGCTCTTTCTTTAAAGGGCTTTCTTGTCTTTGCTATGCTGCAATTGTTTCACAGCCTGTATTGGGGCTTGTATTGTATGATATTATGTAAGTGTCTGTTTATTATTTTAAGCTCTTTCTCCTGCTTGTTGACTCATCTTCTAACACCACAGTGCAGCTTCATAAATAACCATATCCCAAAGGAAAGATTTCCACAAGTGGAGTTCGTTGAAGTAAACTTGTGGAGGTGTGCATATTTTAGGTAGTTACAACATGTATGTACATTTCAAGGTACTGTTGTACATCATCAAACCTAAACCTCTGTTGATTACAACAACTATTATTATTTTTGAACCACCAAGAAAGTAAAAACGTGCTGCTCATTATAAGTGTAAGATTCCTCTGATTGGAAGATGCATGCCAATTTCAGAGATGTTACAATATGGAGAACAGGCATCTCAGAATTGATGACCCACTCAGCTTGTGAAGTGATTGAAGAGAATCTGGCCAGGATTAGAGAACACTGGTTCACCTCCTAGTCATACTTACACTAAGCCTGATCACTTACCATCTCTGAACCTATTTACTCATCTGAAAAATGGGAGAAAAAATGACACCTCCATACTTCACATGCTTCACATGATTGTGAGGATAACATGAGGTAACATATGTGAAAAAAGCTGTCACCACCAAAAGATGTTAACTGAATCTGGATTTACTATCAGTTTTATTTCTTAGAGACACCTTGTAGCTATAAATTTTTTTAAATATAAAGATTTTCAAAGAAACTGAACACTCAAAGCCAAGGTTCTCCTTTGCTTCCCTCTGCATCCCCCACCCCTGAAACACACACGCATACAATTTTACCGTAGCAATGGCCTTAGCAAGGGCTCTGAAGAGCTGGATGTAAGCAGACAGAGTATGTGGTCCATAAATTGTAGATGCTGCCTCATACCGCTGAGCCTGCAGGAGAGACAGGATAGAACTGTACACCGTTCTGCATATCTCAATTCATTTACAAAGGTATTGCATGTTAGGTGAGGGGTGATGCTTGGACATCTCATATAATTCAAACTGGCATAATTCAAAATTAATTATGACAAAGGAGGGTGGGCATTTCCATTTGAGAGCCAAAGTAAATGGCACCCATCAACTACTTGGTAAAGGCAGTGGGTTCTCTTGGATTATTCCATTTGGACTGTCAGTCCATTTAACCTGAAAGAGAGTAATAGCTCCTGAGCTTATGTCTATTTTAAGTACATACTTGTAATACCAATGTTTTCCCCCAAGGAGTACAGCAGGAGGGAAAAAAACAAGGAAAAATGAGTAACTCCTGGACAAATTGGATGGTGATGGTACTACCTGGAGAGGGACATTTAAGCCATCAGAGAGCTATAAAATAGAACCAAATATGTCCCGTTTTACCTGAGCTCCAAGTCTTTCATTATTCCACAGGAACCTCAAATTCATCAAACTTAAAATGGAACTCATCACTCCAAATATACCAGCTTTCCTTACAACATTCTTCATTTCAGTGAATACCATGCTTCCAGTCTCCCATGCTAACACCATCTGTCAGTCATTTAAGACTCCTCTCTTTCCCTCACCCTATATCCTATATGTCTCCAAGTCATCATTTCCTAAAATCTCTTGAATTCTAAAAACCCTACTGCTTTTACTTTGGTCAGACCCTTCACTCTCACCCCGATCATAAATCACAGACTCTTAATCAGTTCTCTGCCTCCATGCCCTTCCAATTTATTTTCTACATTGCCATCGTAGTGTCCTTTCTAAGTCACAAATTTGATCAGAGCATTCCTTGCTTTGAATTCTACTGGAGTTCCCCAAACCCTTCCTTATTGAGTCAAAGCTGCAGCATAGCATAAAAGGTTCTTCATCAACTAACCCCTGCCTCCTACCCTAAACCCTGTCTCACTACCCTCATCATGATTATTCCATGGTACTCAACTAATTATGGCCCTTAAATGTACTGAGACTTCCCCTCATCTATAGCTCCCTTAATACGGAACACATTCCCTAACTTTTATTTGCCTAATTAGCCTTTACTCATTCTCAAGAACTCATACAGATGTTATATCTTCCAGAAAATCTGCCAGGCCCCCGCCCTCAAATACCCAGTCTAGACTGGTGCTCTTTCTCTTTGTTTTCATATCACTTGTGTAGCTCTTTCACAGAAATATAATCATCTGCGTTCTTCTCTGTTCTTTACTAGACCATAAATTCTAACAGTCTTGAGGGCAGAGTCAGATTTCTTATTCATTATTATGCCCAGATAGTGGCTAGTACTTTGTATCACAACACATACAGGTATGCTTCGGAGATATTGTGGGTTTGGTTCCAGATTACCCCAACAAAGCGAATATCACAATAAAGAGAGTGAACATGAATTTTTTGGTTTCCTAGTGCATATAAAAGTTATATTTACACTGTACTGTAGTCTAGTAAGTGTGCAATAGCATTAGGTCTAAAAAAATACCATAATTAAAAAATACTTTATTGGTAAAACATGCTAACCATCATCTGAGACTTCAGCAAGTTGTAATCTTTTTGCCAGTGGAGGATCTTGCCTCGATGTTGATGGCTGCTGACTGATCAGGGTGGTGGGTGTTGAAGGTTGGGGTGTCTGTGGTGATTTCTTAAAATAAGATAACAATGAAGTTTGCCACATAGATTGACTTTCCTTTCATGAATGATTTCTGGGTAGCACATGATGCTGTTTGATAGCTTTTTATCAACAGTAGAACTTCTTTCAAAATTGGAGTCAATCCTCTCAAACCCTGCTGCTGCTTTGTCTGCTAAGCTTACGTGATATTCCAAATCCTTTGCTGTCATTTCAAGAATCTTCACAGCATCTTCAGCAGTAGTAGATCCCATCTCAAGAAACCACTTTCTTTGCTCATCCATAAGAAGCAACTCTTCATCTGTTCAAGTTTTATCATGAGATTGCAGCAATTTGGTCACATCTTCAGGCAATTCTAATTCTAGTTCTCTTGCTATTTCTTCCGCATTTGCAGTTCCTTCCTTACTTGAAGTCTTGAATGCCTCAAATTCATTCATGAAGGTAGGAGTCAACTTCTTCCAAATTCCTGTTAATGTTGATATTTTGACCTCTTCCCATTAAGCATGAATGTTCTTAATGTCATCTAGAATGGTGAATCCTTTCCAGAAGGTTTTCCATTTACTTTGCCTAGATCCATCAGAAAGATTATTATCTATGGCAGCTATAATCTCGTGAAATCTATTTCTTAAATAATAAGACTTGAAAGCCAAAACCCACGGGCTGCAGAATAGACATTGTGTTAGCAGGCATGGAAACAACATGAATCTTGTTGTACATCTCCATCAGAGCTCTTGGGTAACCAGGTGCATCGTCAATAATCAGTAATATTTTGAAAAGAATCTTCTTTTCTGAGCAGTAGATCTCAACAGTGGGCTTAAAATATTCAGTAAGCCATGTTGTAAACAGAGCTGCTGCCATCCACGCTTTGTTCCATTTATAGAGCACAGGTACAGTAGATTTACCATAATTCTTAAGGATCCTAGGATTCTCAGAATGGTAAATGAGCATTGGCTTCAACATAAAGTCACCAGCTGCATGAGCCCCTAATGAGAGAGTCAGCCTGCCCTTTGAAGCTTTGAAACCAGGCATTGACTTCTCCTTTCCAGCCAAGAAAGTCCTAGATGGTGTCTTCTTCCAATGGAAGGCTGTTTCGTCTACATTGAAAATCTGTTGTTAGTGTAGACACCTTCATGAATTATCTTAGCCAGATCTTCTGAATAATTTGCTGCAGCTTCTACATCAACACTTGCTGCTTCACCTTGCACTTTTATGTTATGGAGATGGCTTCTTTCCTTAAACCTCATGGACCAACCTCTGCTAGCTTCAAACTTTTCTGCAGCTTCCTCACCTCTCTCGGCCTTGATAGAATTGAAGGAGTTAGGGCCTTGCTCTGGATTAGGCTTTGGCTTAAGGGAAAGTTGCAGTTGGTTGGATCGTCTATCCAGACCACTAAAACTTTCTCCATATCAGTAATAAGCCTGTTTTACATTCTTATCATTCAGGTATTCACTGGAGTAGCACTTCTAATTTCCTTCGAGAATTTTTCCCTTGCATTCACAACTTAGCTAGCTGTTTGGTCCAAGAGGCCTACCTTTTAGCCTATCTCAGCTTTTGACATGCCCTCCTCACTAAGCTTAATCATTCCTAGCTTTGGATTTAAAGTGAGAGATGTGCAACTTTTCCTTTCACTTGAACGCTTAGAGGCCATTGTAGGGTCATTAATTGACCTAATTTCAATATTGTGTCTCAGGGAATAGGGAGGCCTGAGGAGAGGAAGAAAGATGGCAGAATGGCTGTTTGGTGGAACAGTCAGAACACACACAACATTTATTGGTTAAGTTCACCGCCTCATATGGGTGCAGTTCATGGCACTCCAAAACAATTACAATAGTAACATCAAAGATGGCTGATCACAGATCAGCATGACAAATATAATAATAATGAAAAAGTTTGAAATATTGCAAGAATCACCAAAACGTGACACAGAGATATGAAGTAAACAAATGCTATTGGAAAAATGGTGCTGATAGGTTTGTTTGATACAAGGTTGCCACAAACCTTCAATTTGTGAAAAAAAAAAAAACCACAATATCTGTGAAGCACAACACAGCAAAGTACAATAAAGCAAGATATGCCTGTATCTGTTAAATGAATGAGTGAATTAATTAATTAGTTAGTTAATTAATACTAATCCTTGCAGGAGCATGTCCCTGAACCAGGAGATAAGCTTGTAGGTGTTCCTAACCTTATTTGTGTCATGGACTCCTTTGGCTGTCTGTTGAGGCCTATAAACCCCTCTCAGAGTAATATTTCCAAATGCATAAAATAAAACACATGAGTTGACAGAGGAAACTGATTGATTAGACTGAAATACATTAATAAAACAGTAATAAACCAATTTTGTGATAGAGTAATGTTTGTGCTCCTTTATTATGCTATTGAATAACAAGATCTAGTAGCAGATCTAATAACTACTGTGATTTTAAAATAAAGATGGGAGTAAAAATAATTTCCAGATCCATAATGACTGTATGTGATATGAAAATATTTGTGATTCTTATTGGTGACAAAGTCAGAGGTACTGCTAACATTACTGTCATTTGTTGCCCAAATTATAATTAAAGTGCTAAATAATAGTTAAAAATAAATAAAAAATGGATAAATAAAAAATTATTCCTATCTAAGTTTACCCCAATTAAGAACCTCTCTTCAATAGGATTTCCTAGAAGGCAGAGACCTTCAGCAAAGTCAACAGAGGGCAGTAGGGTAGATTCCACTGCCTGAACATTTGTCAAGGTGTAGACTGTACTCCTCGGTACAAACTACCAAGATATCCCAGCAGATATGTTAGAAACTATTAATTGCGGGACTCTAGACTGCTTTCATAATGTTGACTACTGTTGTTAAATACTTGGGCTACTTTCTGTACTCTTTGTAAACAAAGAAACATTACTAGCCGCCAGCCTCCCATAAATTCTCTGAGACTCTGTTCCGAATCTATATCGTGATATAATAATACCCTACTCCAGGCTTATTGTGAGGAGTACTTAGATCACATTTGCAAAGTGCTCAGCTAGTTCATTCAATAAATAGGACCTATCAGTTGGAGTTTTCCCAGGTTCTAAAGAAACTTCAAGCACCAGAAGCATTATAGATAGAGTTGGAAACGTTATATACCACAACCCAGGCTTATTACCAGTGTCCCTGACAAAATAATTTATTTCAGGGAAAGCGGAAGTCAGTGAGACTAGAATTTTGACATGAACTTGGGAATGGTAAACCCCAAATACAACCTCTGGCTTATTATTCTCTTCTCTGCCCTAAAACAAAATCATCTCTCAAAAACATGATTAAGGAAGTCTAGAAAGAAAACCTGCATTTGACATAGTTTTGACCAGGGCATAATTCATTTAAATGATGAGAACTTCTTACTTTACCTGGTATTCTTCATAGGTGGTAATGTAATGTGTATAAACATTGCATAGACCTGAAGTAACAACAGTCATATTCTGCATCCCATAAGACGCAAATTCCTAGGGAGGGAAAGTAGAGCCCAATAAAGTTACTCTTCATCACAAAGTATGTTATCATCCCAGTTATACCTAATGCACAATTATAGGTAAAAATAATTAGTATAAGATGTCTCTGTTAGCAATATTCTTCCTAATATCTTCCTAAAACTGCCTGGAAATGCAGAAGTATTAAAAAGTCTTTGATAAAAATTGGAACCACAACTCTGCACTATAGTGGGGCAAGTCAATGGATCTACGACTATCTTAATGATTTCATTTGCAGATGTAAAATCTTCTTATTATTAAAATATAAAGATTTTATCAATTTCCTAAAAAGTATTATGGGTAAATATCGGCTGACTAGAGTAGTTATTTCCAGCTCCAAGTATTAAGACATTTGTTGATTATGTCATTTTAGAACCATTGACAATACTTCCTGAATATAAAGAAAATCATAAACATAGATAAACTACAGAATTCCCAACATGTGTTGATTTTATTTAGACAAGACTTTAAGATATGAAGTCACTTAGAGGTTATTTAGTCTATAAAACAATTATCAATTTTTAAATTATTAATACGTAAATACCAATAAAATATTTTTAACTTGACTATAATTATATATATATATATATATATATTTTTTTTTTTTTTGGTGAGGAAGATTGGCCCTGAGCTAACATCTGTGCCAATCTTCCTCTATTTTATGTGGGACGCTGCCACAGCATGGCTTGATGAGCGGTGCTAGGTCCATGCACAGGATCCTAACCTGCGAACCTCTGGCCACCGAAGCAGAGCCCATGAACTTAACCACTATGCCAACAGGCTGGCTCCAACTCTCTTATATTTTTAAAGTTTGTTCTTATACCACCAATATTTCATACTCACCTCTCCCCATTACTTTCAAGAAGTGTAAAACTCTAGTCATCTTAGGAAAAATTCATTTAAAATGTACTAGATCATAGGGACAGGAAATTCTTTTCTCTTCACGAAAGATGAATGCAGAGATATTTTATTTCATTTTTAACTTACTGCTTGAACTGCCTCCCGAAATCTTCGTCCAGACATGGTCCTGGGTGAAGAAAACAGAATTATCTAAGTGTTTTCCTATCCAGAATGTATGCAAAGTATACAGAAAGACTTGTAGTGAAAGCCAAAAAGTTACCCTGGCTTATCGCACAATACTAAAGTATGTAGGAACACAGCGATGATGCAAAGCTAAAGTTGAGCTTTTTTTCCTGACTACTCTATCTTCAAAACAAATCCAAAACTTAAAAACAGACAATGTGAAGATGGGAAACAGAATCAACAAATATCGCTAGCAAAGATCACAATCATTTTCCATTTACCAATTCAACAAAATATATTAGTTGCATTCTGTGTTAATGAGAGCTGAGGAAAGTAGAGAATGTACGATTCCTGCCTACAAAGAACTTACCATTTCATTCATTCACTTAATCCTCCAATAAAACTCTGAGCACCTAATACACACCAGGCCCACCTCTAAGTGCCAAGGATTCAACAGTATTGAGTTTACATCCCAGGGAGGGAAGTTCATCAATAAGCAAATAAAAAAGTGAGATGACAATAAGTGCTATGGAGAACATAAAATAGGGTAAGGATAAAAGGGAATGGTGGTGGTCACTGTGGTGATGATGATGAGGCTGATGCTGGTGGTGATGTGGTGGTGGTAGTGGCAGGTGAAGACAGTATATAGTATAAGCAGGACTAGCATCTCCCTTTGTTAGAGATTTGAGCAGAGAATTGAAGGAATGAAAGAATTGGCCATGGAGATAACTGGAGGATATGTGTTCCAGCAGAAGAAACCTTAAGTTCAAAAGCCCTAAGACAGGAGCATACTTGGTGAGTCTGGGAATTGCAATGAAGCCTAGGTGACTGAAGCAGGGATGAGCAAGGGGTATGAAATCAGATCAGAGAAGTTGCTGAGAAGTTCGCATAAGGCCTTGTAGGATATTGCAAGGCTTTGAGGATTTACCTGGATTGAGACGGGAAGCCACTGTAGGGTTTTGAGCAGTGACATGATTTAACTTAAGTTTTAAAGGGATTATTCTGGCTGTTAAGTTGAGTAAAGAAAATAGACAAGGGAGGGAGGAAGCCAGAAGGTGAGATGGGGGGTTAGCACAGTAATCTAGGGGAGAGAGAATGGTGGCTTAAACGAGTAGCGGAGTGATAGAAAGTATTGGGTAGAATGGACAGAATTTGTTGAAGAATTGAAAGAGGGGAAAATTGAAAATGAGAGAATTCAGGGATGACTCTAAGATTTAGGGCCTGAGCAACCGAAAAGATACAAAATTGCTGCTTACTGAGATAGGAAAAGCTGCATTAGGAGCAAATTTAAAATATTTTTTCTTGCAATGAGAATTCTTACGATCTACTCTCTTAACTTTTAAATGTATCATACAGCAGTGTTAACTATAGTCATCATGTTGTACATTTCATCTTCAGTATTTATTTATCTTACAACTGGAAGTTTGCACCTTTTGACAACCTTCATCCAATCCCCCCTCCCCTACTCCTTTTTTTTTTTTGGTACTATATGAGATGATGAATGTTAACTAAACTTATTGCGGCAATCATTTCACAATATGTAAAAGTCAAACTGTTATGCTGCACATCCTAAAGTTACAGAGTGCTGTATGTCAATTATATCTCAACTAAACTGGGGGGAAAACACATTCTTCCATATTTCTAATACCTAAACTGATTGTTTCAAGTTCCAGTATTTTAATATTATTTAAGTCTTTCTACTGACATCATAATTCATGGCATGATTTTAATTTGGAAGGATGTTTTCAAATTTTCATGTTTTTTTCAAGTTACCCACCAATAATAGGCATAAAGAAATTTATTCTTCAGAGGCCCCATGAAAAGAGGGTGGGAATATTTGTCACTGTTGCCAAACACAGTGCAGTCAGATACAAAAGGCATCGGTACAGAATTATCTGCCCATGATAAGAACTGATTCCAACAGAAACACATACCCCATAAGCATATTTTTAACTGCTAAATAAAAAAGATGAACTTACGTAAACTCCCCAGGGAGGGCAGTTATAGCCAAGGACCCAACAGTAATAATCTGAACATCAACAATTTCTGGGTGCCAGGGATTAGGTCTCAACATCTAGGAACCCAAAACATGAAAACTGTGTTAGGAATATGACTCTTTCTATGGTCAAAAGACAGAAGATGTTGACCTACTTTCCTTTATGAAAGGGTTTAAAATGTTTCCATCTGGGTTTTGGTACTTTGTCCTGCTATCACAGATTTTCTTTCTAATTCACGATGTAGTATTAAATCTTCTGTCTAGTCACAACACGTGAATCTCAAATACCAATGCCCCATGAACCTGGACTTATCTTCCCATCAAGGAAGTGTTTGGTGGATTTGTCACTGCAGAATCACAGTGTGTAACAGACAACCAACGGTTCTCTGAGAGTACTATGTGACTATCCGTATACAAGATGAATAAGGAATTCCACCATTTGGAATAGGTTAACTTAACGATTTCTCTTTTTCCTCTAATAGCACTTTAAATTTTCAGTTACCAAACCTTGTGATACTTTCCAAGTTTTCTCCAAAAGAATCTACCCTTTCCCCTGTTTAGATGAGCATAGAATCTTTCCCTCTATTCCTTCCTTCCCTCTCTTTCTTCTTCTCACAGAATTTTAATGGAATATTAGAAAAAAATATAATTAAAAAAATTTTTCTGCATCAACAATCTACGATTTTATGAACACTGGTATGACCTTTTGACATTTAAAATGTGAAAATCCATGTTCCAAAGGAGTGTAAAAGAATAATGCTTTAGTTAATAATCTTGCCTGAAGTGTGAGAGAATTGAGACGTGACCATGTTCCTTTTTACATGACCTGAAATTCTGTGTGAACTCCCATCCTGGAGTCAGCATAAATGAATCCTGAATAAGATAAATGTTAATCTTCTTCTTCCTTTTCCACTGTTCTAGTTGTTTCAGTGATTTATCATAGATGCAAATATCTGAGTCAGGGGATTTAACAATCATATCCCTTATTCCTTAGTTAGACTCACAACACCGTATTTTTAATGTTAAAAATTTGATGTGGGAATATCTGCATAAGACTTCCCATGTCAATGGAGATCTAGCATTCATTTCTGATAACTCATAAATTTAAAAATAATAATATATTGATTTCACCGTGATAACCAAAATGCATTACCTCTCCAGTGTGAAGAAGGATTGGCTTTGGTTTATGACATTCTTTGATTTCTTCAGATGGACTGCCCAGGAGCTGATTCCGAATGGTGTCCCAAAACGGATTCTCTTCCATTGCCCCTATTAGAAATGTTATGATTTATATGATTCTAAACCTCTGAAAAATGTCACATTTTGACAAATATTGTACAACAATGTTTTTAGGAGTTTCAGAGATTTTATAAGGTTGTTCAATGATTCCAAACATTTTGAATAACAAAAGAGGCAAAATTTCCTGTGCACCCTAAGATAGAAGGATAGATTTAATTAGATATCCCATTTGGTCAACAGAATAAGACAATATATTTTGTTCACCATTTTTAAAGTTTTGTTTCTATTGTTCTCCGTCATCCATGCTGCAAATAAGAACAGTATGATATAATTAACTGTAGATCTATGAATTAATCACACTTTTCCTCTTTTTAAAACTAAAAATGACACCTCCAACTTAAAGCACCAGTTGTTTGGCTTGTGGTCCCTAAAAGACCCTCTCTTGAATCCCCGCTTAATTATCTACACACACACACTCACACGAGCAGTAAAAAAAACAAAAGCCAAGCATAAAATCATAATCTGAGGAAAAGTTTTGTTAACTACGAAATCTGTGAACTTAGAATCTACAGTCCATTAGGAAAATATAACAATTATAAACATACATGAACTTAATAACTGAGCACCTAAATGCATGAACCAAAACTGACAGAAATGAAAGGAGAACTAGAAAACCAACGATAGTAGTTGGAATTTCAATAATCCACTTTCAATAATGGATGAAACAACTAGTCAGAAGATCAACAGGGATATAAAAAACTTGAACAAGACTAGTAGCCAACTAGACCTAACAGATACCTACAGAGCACTCCATCTAAGAACAACAGAATATACATTCTTCTAGAGAGCATATGGATCATTATCCAAGGTAGAACATATGCTGGCCATGAAACAAAATTTTAAAGGGTAGAAACAATACAAAGTATGTTTTCCAGTGACAATGTAATGAAATCAGAAATAAATAGGATAAAATCTGGGAAACCCATGAATATGTGGAAATTAAGAAACATAATCATAAATAGCTAATGGTCAAGGAAGAAATCAAAAGAAAATATGAAAATACTTTCAGATGGATGTAAATGAAGACATAGTATACCAAAACTTATAGGATGCAATAAAAACAGTGCTCAAAGGGAAATTTATAGCCTTAAATGCCCATATTAAGAAAAAAGAGGAGAACAACATCAGCAAGACAGCAGAGTAGAAAATACCAGCCTTTGCTCACCAACAAAAGAAAAATTAGACAGCTATTCTCAAATGAAAATAGCCCTAGGAGGACTCAACCATCCAAGTAAGAACCTTCAGCAACACAGTGGAGCAAAAAAACAGAATAACCACACAGAAAGGATCACTGGGGAGATTAGCTTAGCTGAGACATTTCAAGATCTAGGAAGAAAGAAGAAGGGTGGAGGCAATCAGTATCAGCCACATAGCAGGTGCCATCATGGTTCCCAGTGGCCTGCTCTGTGGAGGACCCTGGCAGCCCTTGCCAATGAGGACCTCAACAGCCCCCACAAGAGACTCCCCATAGCTTTCACAATAGATAACATGTAGTGTTCATCAGTGTAGACCCCAGTGGCCTGCCCCACAGAGGACACCTGTAGCTCCTGCAATTGAGGCAACCAATGGCCATTGTCACCATGGGCCCCCTGGAGAGGGAGATGCTGCTGCACCTCCCCCATATGAAGCTGCTGTTGTGCCGCCCTGGGACCAGTGCTGCCAACCCCCTTAACCCCATGCACACCTCAGACCCCAGAATCCCAGATACTCCATACCCAACTCTGTGGCTACACTGTGTGTCCATCTGCTCCAGGCCTCAGATCTGCAGCTGCTCTGCATATGCCTGCATCTCTAGCTGTTGTCCTGGACCCCAGAGCCTCTGTCCTCCACAAGCGCATGTGCTCCAGTCCAGTTCCATAGCTATACCACGTGTGCCCACACCTCAAGCACAGAGCCACTGATGCTGCATGGTGCACTAAGCCATGGAGCTGCAGTTGATCTGAAAGTGCTTGCACTCCTGATCTTAGCTCTGTCATTGTTCCATGGGTGCCCGTGTATCAGATATCAGTGCCACTACCACCACAAGGGCACCTGCAAGCCAAACCTAGTGCAAAGAGAGATTCTCTTCAGCCACAACATCCCCCATGAGGAAAAAGGAGATCAGGAGGTCCCCAGTAGCCTTCACCACTGAAGATTCCAACAGCACTTGTGGCAATGCAGACACTCATAGTATTAGCCTTTGGGGACCCATACAATCTTTCACCAATGCTGACTTAAACTAACAGAGCGATATGGAGACTATGCCACTTGGCCTGCCCTGGAGCAGGAACTACCACAGCCCACTCAACCAACACCCCTGTATGCACTGACAGGTGAAGGTCTTTCTCCACAAAAACAAGTCTGTAAAATCTAGAAGAAGTGACTGTTCCATCAAATGCTCAGACAAAACACAAGGCTAGAAGAAACAAGAAATATCAAGAAAACATGACACAATCGAAGGAATGCAATAATTTTCCAAAAACTGACCTCCAAAGAAATAGAGATCTACAAATTGGCAAAGAATTCAAAATAATTGTTTGAAGAAAGCTCAGTGAACTACAAGAGAACACAGATAGACAACTCAACAATATCAGGAAAACAATATATGAACAAAATGAAAAGTTCAACAGAGGGAGAAAAATAAAAAAGAACCAAACAGAACTTCTGGAGCAAAAGAAGACAATGAATGAAATGAATAATGCAACAGAGAGCATCAATAGCAGATTTGATCAAGCAGAAGAAATAATCTGTGAACACAAAGACAAATCATTTGAAATTATCCAATCAGAAGAGAAAAAAAGGGGGCCGGCCCGGTGGCGCAGCAGTGAAGTTCACACCTTCCACTTTTCAGCGGCCCAGGGTTCGCCAGTTCAGATCCCAGGCAAGGACATGGCACCCCTTGGCAAAAGCCATGCTGTGGTAGGCATCCCACATATAAAAGAGAGGAAGATGGGCATGGATATTAGCTCAGGTCCAGTCTTCCTCAGTAAAAAGAGGAAGATTGGCAGTAGTTAGCTCAGGGCTAATCTTCCTCAAAAAAAAATAAAAAAGAGTGAAGAAAGCCTAGATGAATGATGGGACACAAAATGCTAAAGGGAGTTCTTCAAGTTGAAATGCAAGGATTCATTAGTATGTAAGACATATAAAGTATAAAACTCACTGGTTAAGGTAAGTACATAGTCAAATTAAGAATACTCTAATATTGTAGTGGTAGTGTGTAAATCATATAATTCTAGTATAAAGTTAAAAGAAGTATTAAAAATAACTAAGGATATAATAATTTTTTAATAGATACACAATATAAACAGGTGTAAACTGTGACATCTAAAACATAAAATATTAGGAGGGAGGATAAAAGGGTAGTTTTTGAATGTGATCAAAGGTAAATTATCAGCTTAAAATAGACTGTTATAACTATAAGATGCTTTACATAAGTCTCATGGTAACAACAAAGCAAATACCTATAGTACATACACAAAAGATAAAGAGAAAGGAACCAAAACATACCAGAACTGAAAATCATTACATCACAAAGAAAGAAAGAGAAGAAGAAAGGAACAAGGAAACTACAAAACAGTCAGAAAATAATTAATAAGACGGCATTAGTAAGTCTTTACCTAACAATAATTACTTTACATGGAAATGGATTAAATTCTCCAAACAAAAGGCATAGAATGGTTGAATGGATTAAAAAAAAAGACCAAACTATCTGCTGCCTGCAACAGTCTCACTTCAGCTTGAAGAACACACATGGGCTCAAAGTAAAGGGATGGATGGTTTCCATGAAATTGGAAACCAAAAGAGAGGAGGGGTATCTTTATGTACATCAGGAAAAACAGACTTAAGTCAAAAACTGTAATAAGAGACAAAGAAGGTAATTATAATATGATAAAGGGGTCAATGCATTAAGAGGATATAATAATTGTAAACATTTATGCACTCAACATTGGAGCATTTAAATGTATAAAACAAGTATTAACAGACTTGAAGGCAGAAATAGACAACAATACAATAATAGTAAGAAACTTCAATACTCCACTTTCAACTATGGATAGGTCATCCAGACAGAAAATCAATAATCATCCGGACGTTGGACTTGAACTATACCTCAGACCAAATAGACCTAACAGACATATACAGACCATTTTACCCAACAGCAGCAGAATACACAGTCTTCTCAAGTGCACATGGAACATTCTCCAAGATAGGTCTTATGTAAGATCATAAAACAAACCTTAGCAAATACAAGAAGACTGAAATCATACCAAGTACATTTTCTAACTACAATGATATGAAACTAGAAATCAATTAGGAAAAAATTAGGAGGAAAATCAGAACATTTACAAATATGTAAAGATTAAACAACACACTCCTGAACAACTACTGGATCAAAGAAGAAATCAAAAGGGAACTAAAAAATATCTCAAAACAAATGAAAATGGAAACACAACATACCAAAATATATGGAATGTAGCAAAACAAGGCAGTTTGTAGCAATAAACCCCTACTTTATGAATAAAAGGAAGATCTAAAATAAACAACCTAACTTTACAACTCAAGGAACTAGAAAAAGAAGAACAAATGAAGCCCAAAGTTAGCAGAAGGAAGAAAATAACAAATACCAGAGCAGAAATAAATGAGATAGAGACCATAAAAACAATAGAAAAGATCAATGATACTAAGAGCTGGTTTTTTGAAAAGATAAACAAAAGTGACAAAACTTTAGCTAGACTAAGAAACAAAGAGAAGACTCAAATAAAATCAGAAATTAAAGCTAAAACATTACAACAGACACCACAGAAATATAAAGCATCATAAGAGATTATGAGCCATTATATGCCACCAAATTGAATAGCCTAGAAGAATTGGATAAATTCCTAGAATCACACAAGTTACCGAGACTGAATCAGGAAAAAATAGAAAATGTGAACAGACTAATAATGAGTAAAGAGATTCAATCAATAATCAAAAACCTCCTAACAAAGAAAAGC